TTAAATCCTCAAAACAGGATATCATTTCCAAAACTGATTTAAAGAAGCAAACTCTTCTTTATCTTTCCAACAATAACAGTAACACCTTTAAAACTTTCAAAATAGTTTTACCATCTTTTCTTCAAAACYAACATCAAAACTCATAGCATATAATCAACAATAAAACTCACAGTTTATAAGCAAAGGTAGTTTTAAAAGAAAACTCACAGTTTATACTCAACAGTAGTTTAAAACTCACCTTATCAAACAGATTTCTTGATGATAAACACACAGCAACARCTTATTCTTAACACAGAATCTTGAAGAACACTTAACTCACACACAAGTTCTTTTCTAAGAGAGTGATAGTGATAAGGATAACCTTATCAAACTCTTCTTTAAATATCCTCACCTAGGCGGTGGAGGATTTTAATAATATAACTTCAAAGGCGRTGAAAGCTTTTGTCCAATAGAAATAACTTTGGGCGGTGGAKTTTGMATTATAAAATTCATGGTTTCTTAACCATGAAGATATAAGCTTTTAAATAATATAATAATGTCCACTCAAATAATTTGTCACAATTATACACCACCTTATGCATGTTTCACACCACATGCATACATGTATAAATCATATATGTCATGACACCTTTTCACATATATGCATATTTCATGTAATCCACATAATAAGCACGTATAAATTACCTCAACCCAAGTTATATGAAACCCGGTTATAACAATTTTTATGGTGAAACCGTTGCATTGATGATGTATTTGATCCATTTTGTTGATGAAAAGGAAAATGAAACCGGTGCATTTTGAAAATAAATTATGAAAAGGAAAATGAAATAGGTTTCATGAACGTAAAACCGGGTCTTGTTGCAAATAAATTATGTGAACCGAAACATTTTTATGGTGAACCCGTTGTATTGATGGTATAGTTGAGCCATTTTGTATTTCGCTCGTCATGAACGAAGTGCATGATGAATCGAGGAAATAATTTTAATCTGCTACATAATCTTGAAGATTGTAAGGATTAAAGGAATGGTTTCATCAAATCGGTGGTGAAATAAGAAAATTACTGTACATGAAATAGTTTTCATGAAAGTGAAAYTGGTTCATGGCAGTATTGAGCCTGATAAGTGAAATGGTTGCATAAGTGAAACAATTTCATGTTGTATTATAAACTTTTATGAAGTCAGTAATCGATGAAAAAATTTGTTATCTAAGTGTAACGGATCCATCTACCAGTATAATGAAAATTACGAAATATGATCAGTATTACGTGGATTAGTCTGTTGATTAAATTTTGRAACCAATTTCGTTCATATAATGTAATTCAAAATTTAAAACGATTCACTCCATATAATTGAATATGGTGTGTTATATTCATTTTTTTATATGTTTTATTGATGGATGTGATTTAAAGTTAAAAATAATATATTGCTTTAAAAAATGAAAATAGTGTCATTAATATCGAGAAAGATGTTACCAAATGTTAAATTTTGTTTATCATTTTTGCCCTTACTGTTGAAATAAAATAAAATTTTAATATATATATTTTTTTAATTTCCTAAAATAAAGTAAACTAATCTTGGTCATTGATCAAGAAAATGAATGGATGAGATTGGTTTACACGGTTTACACAAATGTGACAGGTTTTTATTTGAACGCTCCTCTATATATGYAATTTTATAAAWATTATATATTAGCGGCGGTTTGGCGGGTTGGGTGGGTTGAGCTAGGCCCAACCCAATTTCAACCCTCCTAATTGACGGGTTAGCGGTTGGCGGGTTGGGTTTAATTGGGTTGTTAGYGGGTTGGGTTGGACGGGTTTTGCGGGTTGACGGTTTTTTGTGCACCCCTAGCGTGAAGAAAGTGAAACCATTTCAAAACAGATAAGAAAAGCTTATGTAATTAGCGAAAAGTGAAACAATTTCATTATCAATAACGTGAAATGACAAATGACTCATCAAACCATGTTGGGCGATGAAATKGTGATTGAAGAAAATGAAACCATTTCATGGTTTTTAAGAAAATTTTATGTAATTAGTGAACAATGAAACAATTTCATTATCAAAATGAAACGGATCCATCTACCAATAACATGAAAATGACAAAATCTGATCAGGATTACGTTGATTAGTGTATTGATGAAACTGTGAAACCATTTCGTTTATGTAATGTAATACAATTTTTTTTTAATTTATATTCAAAAGATTCATTATGTAGAATTGATTATGGTGTGTTTTATTTATATTTTGAATCTATTTAATGATATAACATGATATGGTTGTCATTAATAAAACCACTAACAAAGTTACCATTTTGTTCTTATAGGGATTATAAAATAAATTTTTATTTATTTATTTATTTTAATTTCTTAATATAACTTAAACTAATCTTGACTATTACATATATAATTCTATTGTTTCTTTTAAATTTGCAAAAAATAAGGAGACTATATTATCTCTTACTTAAAGGAGTCAAATAAGGGATCCAATCCATAACAAAAACGAAACCATAATAATTATACATATAATTACTTGGTTTAGAAAAGGAATCCAAATTTCATAAAACCACGTGGACGAATTTGTAATATAGTCTATATTATTATTAATAAAAAGATATAACATGAAAAATAAAATTGAGGCAATAGAGTTGGGCATGACATCAAGTGGGTGTCATAGCAATAGCATTGGTGGAGTCCATCAACCCCATTAACAATTAAAAGCCATTGCTAATAATAACCAATCATCAACCCTTTTGAATTATAAACCATTTCTTTCCTTTCTTTTCGTAAGTGGATAACAAACAATACCAGCCAATTAAATTTTCGATTTATGCTCTCTAATTCAACTCATTTTTTTTTATACTTATAAGTTCCAGATTCTTTAAGAATTGTATCCTATAAAAATAAATTGTAACTTAAAAGATATTTACAATCAAGTGATTATGAGAGAATATATATATGATTAGTGTAGATATTGGTTTTGTGTATCTCTATCGGTGTCGAATGTTTATAGATACATGTCAACATCTACAAGGATGAAGGAGAATTGAGAAAGGGGATTTCGAGTGGAAAAAAAGATTAGGAGGCCTCCACTTTATTTTTAGTGTTGATTAACAATTCTTAAACTAAAATATAGAAGTTTGTGGTGGCAGAGTTGAGTTGGTGTATGTCACTATGTTAAGGTTTACTCTTTGGAAGAAGGCATATTCCAATCATGTGTTTATCAAATTTCTTTAATTTTCAGCTTTTAAATTATAAATTAATTTTTTTTGGAAGAAAAGACGGTTAGAAGGGACGGGTAGCCAACAAATTTGTATTGATAAGAAACAAATATATATATATGATTTGGGATCATGTGAGATCAAGGGCTTTTCGTGAGACCCGTAAGACCAATTTTCAACCATTGGATTAGATCTACAATCGTCAGATTTGAACATTCATAAACGCCACAAGACTTCTCAATAATTACAAAATTGTCACCGTGCAACTTTAGACCATTAGATCATTAGCTTAAAAAGTTGATCAATGAACATAAATTGGTCTTACGGGTCTCACGAAAAAACCCTTGGTCTCACGTGAACCCAACCCTATATATATATATATATATACATATATATCACGTGAGACCAACCTATTTTTGTGAGATTACTTTTTTACACTTTGGATTTTTTTTACCTTCACAGTGTTTTTGCGGTGAAATTTTGAATTTCATTTTTTACCTTGACAACGTTTTGCTGTGAAGTTTCCAATGTAAATAAATGATATCATTTCTTACAAAAACATATTCTCAAGTGCATCCAACCATATATAAAAATAAGAATTTTTTTTTATAGTAGTCAAATGGTAACATAAAAAGATGAGGTGGACATCTAAAATGAGTAGCATTCGATGCTATATATACTTTTGATTATGATTTCTATCCACATTTCTCTTGTTCTTGCATCCGAGCTCGAAGGGAATTCGTCGATAAAATGCAAATTATCGTTTCGATTTCCGAGCTTCTCGTCGTTGTTTTTGTCGTCATTCCGCATGTTAACGGAAGTCTTGGAGATTTAACTTCGATCGTAAACGGAGACCCTTTGAAACCAATCAAAGACGAACTCGATGGACTGGTTTTCATCGACCAGAGACTTTCTGTTGTCTATCCGTTGATCCAAAACTTCAAGAACATCATATCATCTGACCCCCTCAACATTACTGGATCTTGGGTCGGGTCGGATATATGCAATTATACAGGGTTTTATTGTGACAACCCACCCGACAATAAAACCGCCATCACCGTTGCTTCCATCGACTTCAACGGATTCCAACTCGCAGCCCCGAGTCTCAATGGCTTCCTCGACCAGTTACCCGATCTCGCCCTCTTCCATGCCAATTCCAACTTCTTCTCCGGTACTATCTCCCCGAAAATAGCTAATCTTCCCTACCTTTACGAATTCGACATCAGCAACAACTTATTTTCAGGGCCGTTTCCAAATTCGATACTCGGGATGAACAGCTTGTCGTTTCTTGATATCCGATTTAATAGTTTTACGGGTTCCATCCCACCTCAACTCTTCACAAAAGATTTAGACATCTTGTTCGTAAACAACAACAATTTCATCCAAAGACTTGCGGACGTCCTCGGAAACTCACACATTCTTTACCTCACCTTGGCCAACAACAAATTCTACGGACCAATTCCTCATTCCATAGCTAAATATTTGTCGGGTTTATCGGAGGTTTTGCTGTTAAACAACATGCTGAGTGGCTGCCTCCCGTATGAGCTCGGTTTCTTGAAAGAAACGGTGGTTTTCGACGCCGGAAACAACCTTTTAACAGGTCCGATACCGTTTTCATTAGGATGTATGAAGAAAGCAGAAGTGATCAACTTCGCCGGAAACTTGTTGCGTGGGGTGGTGCCGGAGGTGGTTTGTGCCATTAATGGTCTGACTAACCTGTCGTTATCTGATAACTATTTTATCCAAGTAGGTCCGATTTGCCGAGGATTGATGAGAAAAGGGGTGGTGGACGTGAGGAATAACTGCATTCCGGGGCTGCCGGCGCAGAGACCGGTGGAGGAGTGTGTGGCGTTCTTTGCGAAGCCGAGGTATTGTTCGTACTTGCAGACATACCATTATCTGCCGTGTTGGTTGCCGGGTTTCAGTGATTCTCCGATGGGTCTGTCGGAACCGGCGCCTTCTCCGATTTGACTCCGATCATGACTTGTTGCCAATTACCTAATGTAATTATAGTTGATACTATTTCAAATTTCAACAAATAGCGATGAACACATTTGGTGAAATATAAAAAGATAGAGAGAAATCCACTTCCCAATTTAGAGTGGAGTAGAGTCAATGTCATGGGTGTTTAATGCTTTAAGTTTTAACTAAAATGTTATCCGATACATATTGATTTTAATATTTTATTTTATTATTTATTTCAGTCGATATTATAATATTA